TAATTCTTTTTCAGTGCAACATAGTTGTATTATTGAAAACAATAAATTTTACACAGTGCAGATAGCGAGCAAATGGAGATCCTTTTTTGGAGCAGGGAGATGTATGCAAGTACGTCATTTGTGAGTTGTAATTTTAAAACTTGTAGTTCGAGATATTTTTAATTGTTTTTCAATAGATTATCTTTATAATTTTATATCTTAACAAAAATATTATGTTTCTTAAAATGAATAAGGTTATATAAAATGTACAGACCAATAGACAACACATAATCATATTTTTATAAAACACATGATTTAAATCAATGAATTCTTCGAATTTCAATGTTATTCAACATTCTCTCTATCCTGACATTAAAAAAGAATTGTTCATCTGTTTAAATTAATTAATTTGTTTTTATAACTTTTGTAGGACAATATATTTAAGCTAGTAATGTCATATTTAATTTAAATACATACATTCCCCATTGGATAATAGTAAACAGACAAAAATAATTTATTAAAATAAATAATTCTTTTTCAAATCTATCAGTTGTTTTAATGAAAATGATAAGTTGTATTATGTATTAAAAGATTTTAAGAAAGGGGGGTTATAAATATGTTTATGATCTGTCAATGCAATGCTAATTAATACTTGAAAATAAATGTATTGTGCAATTTTCAATTAAATATTTGCGTATTTAAGCGGATGTGCGAATTTATATCTTGTGTATTTGATTATACACACACACATGCTCACGCACACACACTCACACACACACACACACACACACACACACACACAATATATATAAAAATGTATATATGCATATGGTGTTTTGTAAATTTAAAATGCTAATAACACATAATAAGAATTATACAAAGACAGGATAAATAAAATAAAATCATTTTTGTAATACGAATAATTTAAATTATAATATTTTTCGATTTAATTCTTAGTTAACGCAAAATAATCTCCGAAAAATATTTTAACATTAAAATGAAAAAAGTTTCCTTTACATACACGCAATCGATCCAGAAGGTTTTGATTCAATAATCGAAAATTTTTTTCAATTTTGGATTTAATCTCGAGTATGAGTAGAAGGATTATTTATAAACAATAAAGTAAACTGTGCATTTCAAAAAATTGATGAATTAAAAAGAATAGTAATTAAATAATGTATATTATCTTTAAAATTAGATAAAATTTAAAATAGCGTTATTTGGACGCAAACAATTATTCGTACAGTCAAGAAAATTAGCTTCTAAATCAGAAACATATGGAATACTCGCTTGCTTATAATAGAACAGAACGTAAAAAACATCTAATATTGTGTGTACATTCTCTATAAATAAAGCTTTTTTGATATAGTGAGAACAAAAAGTATAAAATTTAGAACAAAATTTTATTTTTTACAGGGTGTTCTGAAAGTTTTTGTCAATCATTCTGTATAGATAGAGCGGACTAAAGTAAGCCGATAAATCTACTATTTTGCAATTTTTGCAATAGTTAACAAAATTTTAATTACTAAAAATTGCTAAATATTGGTTCTGAATAATTTTTTACTCAAATACTATCAACTTTATAAAAAAGCTGCAAGAGACAAAAATCATTTATTTTCTTCTTATAAAGTCTGAAAATTTTCTTATATAAAAATTATACGTGCTTACGTGGTAAAACAGGAGGCTTTAGAATCCTCTACATAGAAATCGTAGATGGAGTTTTAAGTCGTAGAAAACTAATCAATCACAATCAACTGTAAGAATACTCTATTAGAATTGGTCAGTTTCCTACGACTTAAGACTCAACGACTGTCTACAACTTCTAGAGGACTTTAAACATGATTTTAAAAGAGAATACTATTACTTTTACATGACCGTTTAGGAATTGTTTTATTTCTACACTTTCTTATTTTTCTTCATGAAAACCGGAAATTATCAATGATACTAAATGACACTATATACAAGGAAAAATATACAAAAAATATATATGCTCGTGCATATGTATAATATTCTGAAAACATTAAAATATTAATGATATATACATATAATGAAATTTATTCAGATTATGAAAGTTCGATTTATTACAAGATTATCCATATAATACACATAGTTAGTTACATGTACTGTGTATACATTTCATCTTATATAGATCTATTTCGTATATAAGAAATAAAAAATAAAATGATAATATAACGAAAGAATATAAATAATAAAATATGATGTATGGAATTTTTCTTTGATCTTTATTTTCCTTTTGAATACAACATTTTTTATGTAATTATGTTCATCTATTTCTATTTATTAATCTAATTCTATTTATATCAAAATATATATAATATATATAATATATATAATATATATAATATACATGATAGTGTTTCATCGAGACAAGAATGAATGAAAAATTATATTTAAAAATCTTGGATTTAAAAATCTTGAATTTAAAAATCTTGAATTTCTTGACATTTCTTCATTTTTTAAGTAGGGCCCTTGTAATATTGACTATGTCGCGCTGTAAGATAATAATAATATTAATAATATTCTATATAATAATAATATATAATAATAACATATAATAATAATATATGATAATAATATATAATAATAATAACTATTATTATTATTACTATATATTTTAATCTTATTCCTGATTATCCATTTAATTTATACTATTAGTAGAAGTTACGGAAGTGTTTACACTTTTGCCAGTAATCTCGCAATATTAATTTTATATATATTCCTTTACACATAAATGTAAAGGTTAATATCTAGTACAACAATCGACGAGTATAATTTAATTTGATTAGGGTTTTCACTCTCTTTTTTATTATTCGATTTACACTCTGCTCATATACTATTTTGCTATTTAATGAAAATGTATGAATATATTATATATTAAATTAATATTTATACCGTCACAGAGGCACTTTGTTTACATCTATACGAATATAAGAAACAGTATAAAGCACTTTAGCGCTGTTTCCTTACAAATATAACAAGAAAACAGCAGAAAAAAAAAATAAAAATTCAAAACGGTCATGGGAGTCAGTAATAATATAAACATATTTCTAATAAGTTCTTCAACGGTTTTGAAATTCACAAATCAATAGAAATTTAATATAATATTTATAAAATACGTATTATCTTTAATAATTTATCTTTTTTATAAAAAGTGATTTGGAGAAGTCATAGTTATAAAAAATTTTGTCTGCTCGTGTTCGTAATCTAACGTTGTATTAGAAACTTAGGAAATTTAAAGTATTTTATTATCAGTCTGAGATCTCGTTGTTTATTTTATTTGTTTGCCATATTTGTTTAAAATATATAGATCTTTTCATAATATAAAAACCTTTAATAAATCGTATCATTACAGAAACTGAATTAGCTAATACGAAGAGAATAATAAATGATTCCTTTAAATATTGTTTTACTGTATTGTAATATCATAAATAATTAAGAATACAGATTTTGTAAATTAATAATTAGATAATTAGATAATTAATAACAACACAATTAATAAAATAAAGATGGCTATATACATATATATAGTAAAAAACATGTACATATTTTTTGTTTAATAAAAAGAAACAAGTTTTCATTGAAGTAAAAAGAATTGTCAAAATTATAGTTAAATGTTTTAATTAAATATAGCAGTTTTCACATTAGGATTTAACGTTGATTTAATTATTTTCTCAAAAGCAGCTTTGCAATGACAAATAAGCTTCAAGAATTATCGAAATTTTATTATATTAATATTAAATGCAATATATGGTTATTAGTTATCTTTTATGCATAATATATTCTAGTAATACATATTAAAAAGTTCCGAGCATTTAATATACGTGTGGTTCATGTTTACTCCTTCTTGAAAGATCGTTACAAAATGATATTACAATCGTAAAGCAGTTCATTTTATGATAACGTCGACTCTTTGAAGGAATATCGCTATGATATTAAATCATCCAAGCATAAAATTTAGCATTTGATTGATAGAGCTACGTGCTAATAAAATTCGTATCGTATCTTTTTATTATGAAAATGTATGCCTAAATAATTATTTGATTGAGCAGACGTCGTGAACGACGCTATGGAATTCTTTAACAATCTTATTCCAACAAGTAGTCGAAATTTTTATTATTATTGTGCGTTGATGAATATTTGGATCAACATATAATCGTAAATCTTCATTTTTTCTCATCGTACTTGCCTGTGTTTTTTGTTCAGCTAAATTTCCTTTCTCGAAGAAATACGTTTTAGGAAACTGCTGTCTCATCA